GATGATGCACTGAAATATAATTCTAGCATTTATCCACACCATTTACAAGGCCCAGGTCATAGTCCTGGAAGTATGAGTGAGAATACACAGAAAACATATTAACATTCTCTGCTAAGGAGTTCATCATGCTCTTGGAAAGCTCTCTCACAGATAAAGATAAAAAATTATAAGGTGGCACTGCACTTGTACTCGGTCTTTCTGTAACATATATCTTCACAGGCTCTTAGAACACTTTATTGCTATTATTGGATTTGGTCCCATCTGGAGGCCACATTAGTTATTTGTTTGGCTTATTTTAAATGAAGATAGATATTTCACTATGCACATGATTATCTGTTTTACTGTTCTGGCACAATTCCTGCCAGCTCAACCATCAAAGAAATAGCCTATGCCTCCCACCTGCCACCTATTTAGGCCCACCCACTTTCTTGGGCCTGGGACCTAGACCCTTAAAGCTCCTCACAGTCAAGGGCAGACCAAGGGATACAATTCCAGGCCCTGGTTTTTTTCCTTAGCTCTCAGACATATAAGAAACATCAGGATATGCACTGTGATATTTTTGGCTAAGGACTCAACAAATACAGATACTTACAATATAAATGGACTTAACTGTAAATCTAAGGTGTGAGGACTTGACATACCACCTTGAGTTAAGCTGTTGTACATTGTTACTGCTACTGTGTGATGTGCTGCCAAAACAGCTGTGCCACAACCAAGTGGGTGCATGTAAATGAAAAAGCTCTGCTGTGTGCATGTATTTTCACTGCACAGTGACAGAGTGCAGAAGTGTTTGGCATCCTTCTAGGCCACATGGGCTCAGGACATTGTCAATGAATTTCTCATTTGAATTTAAACTGGTCAGTTTCTGTTACAGGGCCCAACAGAGCACAATATTCATGGGCTTGAGCAGCTGTATTAGTCAGTGGCTTTGCTGACTTGAATGAACTTTTCCTATGCTTAGTTGCATCCTAGCTTGAAGTACCTTCCGGGATCTGGGCCACAGAAAGGCAGAAAAGAATGAGTTAGAACTGAATCCATTTGAAAAGATGAAAGCCAAACACTTAAAGAGTTCTTCATATGAGAAGTAGGGTATTTTATTTTTTCCTTTTTAAAAAACAAGATATATAAAATACAGTTTATACAAACTGAACTGTATCTAGTCCAGCTTTTAGAGCAGTTATCATCAACCAATAGCTTACATCACAGGAATTTTTCCTTTTAGATTTCATCCATATAAAAAGATAGGTACAAGCTGCAGCAATCCTTTTTCTTTAATAAAAGGAAATACTAACCTAGGTGTACTAATTTATTATGGGAATTACTGCTGGAACCACTTCCATTGCCCAGCCAGGTATAGCACAACACAAGGCAGTTTTAGCTTACACACAGCAGTGCAATTCCTCCCTTCCCCACAGACAGTGCTTCAGCACCAAAACAGGGCCAGGGTCCAGGAGATTGTAGTCTCAGTTGAATTATTTGATCCTTGTTTCTAACTGGAACTATCAAGACTAGGTTCAGTAAGTGTCTGTTAGATTGATTTTTCTATGATGCATGCAGGTTGGGGAAGGAAGCAGGAGACATCTATTCCCTTGGCAGGGGCAGGTAAAGTTCCAAAATTCAGTTGCCTGACTAGAAAGTGTGACTGCCAGTTTTTCAAAC